GTTCTAATACTAGTTAAAAACCTGAAGTTTAATTAATAAGAATTGATTTTTAAAAATTAATACCTGAAGTTCTGATCTTATATACCGGAACCTAAAGTTTACAAATGATAATAATAAAATGCCTAAAGTCTGAATAAATCAAAATTTAGAACTTGAAGTTCTAAGTTTCAAAATTTTTTCCATAACCCAATGTTCTGACTTTATTTACAGCCTTTCATTTTATTATTATTTATCTTTATGCAATTTACCGTTCCTTTCAAATTTATCGCACTTTTTTTTTTTTTTTTTTTTTATATTTCTATTATTGTTTTTGGATGCCAGAATGCATGCTATGACATGCATCCAAAGGATGCGGATTCAGGAAACACAGTTACTTATTCCTTTAGAATAAAGTAAAATCTTTAATTTATTTCTACCACCCAAAAGTAAATTCTGTGAGAAGTTCTCAAGATATATGATATGTTGATCCTATAAAAGAACAGAATGACCAAGGAAATATTCTCCTTAAAACTCAAGGATATGCTCATGCTGTAGAAGTATATATATCAAACAATCAAACCTTCTTTTGTAGTAGTGGTATAATAAAACCAAAGTTACAAGATACTTAGAAACTTGATGTGATATGAACAGTTGAAGATGTTCATTATGAAATCAAGCAATTACTGATATTATGCTTATTTGATTGATTGCTAAAATATTCTGTAATTAAACCTTTATTATATTATTGTATTTACAGCTATTGTATAAATTGGTCATTGTATACATTACAAAATACACAAGTAATACAAAAGTATTTACTTCTCTTCTCTCTCTCAGTTCTTGACATCCTTCAGTATCTCTTGCCACTATTGTCAAGCCTTCTCTCTATTGACATTCGTTGGCAGTGTTCTGCCTCTTTTGCCTCTCTTCTAGCTTAAACTCTGACAAAATTTATTTTATATTTATAGAATTTGAGGTCCTAACTCCTCAGCTAAAATGTTCTGTTGAATGGAATGATTACTCTCTCTTATAAACTAATTAGTTTGAGCGTGTCTTGTTAGTGTATACCTTAAGAATCAATCGTGTTATCAGTTTCAGGACATTATATCTTGTAAATGTATTATGAATAAAAAAAAGTGTTCTTATTTTACATGTTGATTTTCTGCTTTATTTATATTATATTATATTTAATATTGCATGTGAAATGCCCGAATGACACGAATCTTCAGAAGATCAAATCATCAAAGAATTCCCTACACAAGTAATGTTAATTGGGCAATAACATTGTATAGTAGACATGCTGAATGTCTTCATTGAATATCATGTGATGGTATCAGTGTGGGTGATTATAAGAGGTATGTCACTAAGGCATTAGCATGGATAAACGGTTAGTGAACTGTTTATCGAATATGACCAATTACGATGAATCACATGGATATGGTCAATGATGCATCGTAGGATCGTGCTAATGTACCACTGATCCTTAGACCTGAGACATCACGGTTGGATTCAATATAAGATGCATATGGTTCATATGGTGTATAAGCACGAGACTAGTCATGTCTTGTGTAATAAGCCAGTTTGGTCATATGTTATTCATGTGCGAGGACAAATAATAGTTAAGATGTGATCCATTAACTCAAAATAGTCCAATCTCGAGTTCCCAGACGAATGTCAATAAACATTGTAAAAGGGAAATCTCTAGCCAGAGCATAATGAATGTCAGATGAAAAGTAGTTTCATGTTGACGAGTTCCATTATATCTATTGACAATTCGATTAAAGATTAAGTTAAATGTTTTGACATACCATGAACCATTCTTAATCGGGATTAGATAACGGAGTGATTTGACTACATGGTACGTACGATCATAATAAGTTTATTGGAGTTTACACTTCATTGTGGTTTAGGGGTTATAGAACATTGCTAGACGTCTACCATAATCAGTGGGAGCTTCGATTATAAAGAATTATAACGAAACATATCAAAATCAGATATTGGGCCCACGGCTAGATCACAATAAACCAAAATGGTCACACATAAAACCAAGCTCAAGGAGAGAGAGTAATACATATCATTAATCAGATTAATGATGTTCGGACATAAATGGTTGCATCCGAATTAATGTATTGGTGATAAATGATTATCCATGGATAGCTAGCGCTAACCAAGGATAATAAGATTTATTAAATATTATTATTGAATTTAATTCAATGATGGGGGCAAAAGTGTATTGGTTTCATTCTAAAGGGTTAGAATATATAATGGAATTAAAATTTGGTCTAATTATGAATTAACCATAAAACCAAGGATTTGATATAAATGTTTATTCTCAAGTTAATTTTAAATTGTTTAAGGCCTTCCCAAAACAATTTAAAATTACACTTTGTGCCCATGATATATAAATTAAGTTTTATACCATTTCAATTGAAACAAAAAAGCAATTTCTCACTTTCTCTCTCACTCTCTTGGCTCTCTCATCTTTGGCTTGGGTGGATTTCATTTTGAGTTTCTTCATTCTTTTTTGAATAATCTAGACTTCAAGTTTCAACATCAAGCTTTTAATAGCAAAAAAAGTTTATAATTTTCTATCATTTTCTTACATTAATATGTTAATGTTATAATAGTTTGTTTTCTACCTTATGTTCATCATCATGATCATCATTTTCTCTCAATTTCCATATCCAAAATGCATGAATCCCAATATGCCTCTCACGGTCAAGCCCATATGATAGGTCATGCCTGTTGATGGAGGTAGTTGCTGGCTTTAACTTCCTACTCGCTGGCCAAGCACTCAACTCTACTGAACCTGGACTCTGATACTATGATAGAATTTGAGGTGAGCTTGACTTTTTACCCAATAAGACCTTGTTAAATGAAATTATTACCTCTCTTATAAACTAGTAAGCTTGAGCGTGCTTAATCGGTGTGAGACTCCAACATATATCTCTTGGTTGCCAAATAAACCAATCCACAAAATTAAGAATCACCTGAAAATAAATACTTCACCATTCCTTGAAGTGAATGTTAATGGTCATAATAGTTTTCGTTAAGACACTCACTAGAAGTGGGATGTTTATAAACTCAAAGAAACCAAGATCAGCAGAAAAACCTTCGTGAACATTGGTCCCTGGAAACACATTTCATAGGCGTGTAAAATATATTTATCATGTACCTGTAGTACATTTGTACAATAGGAAAGATGTATTTTCAAGCCCTTAGGAAACTGAAAGGAAATATTATATGATTGTTAGGGCCAAAAATCGTCTTTGGCCCAAATAGGAGAACGGGACTGAATGACGAAGAGACCAGACCCAATCCCGATGCGGCCTCATTCGGATTAGGCCCATTTGATAGGAGATACAGTCGGTCCAAACCATCAGGTTTGGGCCTCCAAATCCCAGTTCACTTCCTGGACCTATGAGCAAGTCTAGAGCCTACAGCACCTACAGATCACTTTCTTATTCCAGATCGGTCTCCTATTCGAGGTCACTTTCCTACTCGAGGTTACTTTCCTGTTTGAGATCACATTCCTATTCGAACAATGGTAAGACAGCTCACCACCGCCCTAATTCCTCTAGGGTTTGTATCAGAGTCATACTAGGACTCCTACTCCCACCAGGACTGGGAGACCAGACAGTCACTATATAAGCAGAGACTAGCCCTCTCACAAGGGAGATTAGATTACATTACACCTTTACACCCGAAGCTCCTACTTGAGAGCTTTACATCACTACTGTAGTCACAGTCCCCGACTAGACTTCCGGTAACGTCTCTACTCCCTAGCCCTCACTATACTAGTCTCTTTCAGCCTTGCTGACTTAAGCGTCGAAATGCCTATGGCAAACACCACCCCGGTGTTTTCCGTTCACTTCACGCTTGTTTCTCTACGTGTGCAGGTGTAGCGGATCGCTAGTGGCCTCAACCTCACGGGATCAGACCCCCCTTCCGTACAAGTAGATTTTTACGTCTACAATGATTATATCATTTTATTTTATTAAGCATTAATATTACTTCTTTTTATTATGTTTTAATGTACATTCTTATCATGTGCTATTCTTTCTTCATTTCTAATGTAAATATTCTTTAATAAAAATCATATGAGATCAAAGAATGAATTGTTCGCTTTGGAAAATCATATGTATATTATCATTATTTATTGGCTACTTAACCATTAAACCAGATAACAAGTTAGTTTTGGTACTAATCACATGACAATTTTCATTGTCATGAATAGGGGTGATCGACTTTGGCTATTTTGCATTTTCTGAAGGTATCAAAATTGAAATTGACCGATTCCTAAATTTGGAGTCGGAATTGGAATCGACCAGTTCTGGTTCCTAGAAACCTGGAACAGGAACATGAAACATAGGTTTCGGTTCTGGTTCTGGTTCCGGGTACCCTGGTTAATTTTAATTACCCCATATTTTAAAAAATTGTAAATACACCTCCAAAAAATTACAATGCACCCCCAATACTTTACAAAAATTATAGTTTAGTCTCATTCCTACCTAGGAACTCAGATTTGGGTTCCAATTCCCGATTCCAACACTGTAGAAATAAGAATCGAACCCTAGAATTCCCGATTTTTCATAATCGGAACCCAACCCTAATGGGACCGATTCCAGTTCCGATTCTACCCTTCACCCATGCTCACCTCTAGTCATGAAGATTGTTTTAAGGAATTACGATCCTTATTCCTAATATTTTAAGCAAATTACAATATAATTAAAGGATCATATTTTAATTATTAGTTTTTGATTATTCTCACCGCTTATTTTCCATATAAATTATATATAATTTAAACTGTATCTTTAATTATTTAGAAGAGGTAGATACAATAAGAGTGTTGATAGCCCAGTTAATTTTACTATTAGCCAACACCTCAATTTTAATGAGGATAAAACTGTAATAGACATACATATAATTATATTTGTGTATGTATTTATTTACCTCAAACATAAGGGGATTTGGATAACATTTACCATTGCTGCAACTCCTCAATCTGATTTTGCCACGTAATATATCACAACTCGCGACGTAACTATCGTACACGAAGTGGAAAGGTTTGGCCACATCTCATTTATGCCACCGCCAATTCACCTAGTAGCCAATCAACCATGACCTCAAAGTACGATTACGTGACGTACGCTCCCCTCCCAGCTGAAAACGCCGTCGTCCTCCCCCTCTACTACCATCCCAACCGCCACCGCCATAGCTATCTCCGCCGCTGCCTCTACTCAGTCGCTTGCGTCGCAATCCTCGCTTTTTTGGTTTTCCTACTCTATCCCTCCGATCCCACGATTCAACTCTCCCGAATCCGTCTCAACCACATCCGGGTCAACTCATCGCCTGGACCTACCCTGGACCTCTCCTTCTGTCTTACAATCAAGGTCCAGAACAGAGACTTCTTCTCGTTAAGCTACGATTCGCTTGCCGTTTCGGTTGGTTATAGAGGGAGAGAACTAGGGTTGGTGAGGTCCAAAGGAGGGAAAGTGAGAGCGCGAGGGAGATCGTACGTTAATGCCACGCTGGAGCTTGACGGCCTGGAGATTATTCATGATGCGTTTTATTTGATTGAGGATTTGACCAAGGGTGTCATTCCCTTTGATACTGATACTGAGGTCAAAGGCCAGCTCGGCCTCTTGTTTTTCGAAATTCCTCTGAAGGTCTTTAACTCTTTATCTTTCCGGATCTTGTTTTTTGAAATTCCTCCTAAGGGTCTTTGTCTTTTGTAGTTCAATTATAGATGATTTAGAATCAACTAGTAAATTGCACAATTGTTACTTCAGTATGTTGTTGAAAACACCAATGCCTTTTAATGACTTGTTCACTTATTTGTGGGAAAGATGTTTAATTCTTTTTATCTTGTTTATCAGGCAAGAGTCGAATGTGAGGTGTATGTAAATACAAACGACCAGTCGGTAGTCCGGCAAGATTGCTACCCTGCGGTGAGTAAATTTTCTTTAGTATAGCTTATTCAGGAGAATGTGTGAATTACATACAAATTAGATACTGATTTTCATTTTAAGATTATATGCAAATCTAATTTACTTTTTGTACCATGAACACCTTTAAAATGCTAAAATTCTCTGATTTGTACCTGTAATCATATGAATGGTTTTGCTGAATATGGTGCCTTGTTGCTGCATGTAATTGAATAATATAGAGATGTGTCTCAACCTACTTCTGGCTAGGTGTAGGCTAAGTTGTTCATCAATATGCATTTAGTATACAATGTTGTCTTGAATAGCATTGCTTGATTGGCAGAATTACTGCCTTCAGGCATCAACTATTAGAAATTCAACCAATGTACTGTTACTTGGTTTTGCAGTGATGTGTTTGGATACCACCAAAATAGTATTTTTTTTCCCTCGTTCCTACATTGGGCACAAGAAGGAAATGGAGATAACTGCTGAAGATATGGTATGGTTTCTGTGGTGGTCTTCATATACTTTATGGGTTGTGCAGAAGTTAAATTTAAGGTACTCATGAGTTGGTGTGCGGGTGTCAACATGTTATGAACTCTTTTAGGCACACCAGGATATCATGTATATTACTCCTTATATAATTGTTAATTCATTTAGAATTTTATAGTGTATATTTATCGAAGATGGATGATTGATAGCTGAAATTATGTGTTTGTCTTTTCCAATACAAAACTTTGCCAGTTCTCTAATCGGAATTTTGTTATTGATGGATGGGTTTGTGGTTGATCTCATGGTTGAAACTGCTTATTTTTACCATTAAGCTCAACCCTTTGGGTTGAAGCCAAAGTATATTTGAAAAAGTGATGAAATATTCTTTCTAAAATAGTTTTTTTTTTTTTTTTTTTTAAATGGCACGGACAGCCCTGAATTTATTGTGGGTGGTCAGAATGTCCTGTATTACATGGACAGTTGTCCTTTTATTGAAGGATACAGGGAATCTTTGCCATGTTGAAACTCCCCAATTTATCTGTTATAAGAGGGAAATGAAGGGATCTGTCAGATACGGTGTACCATCTTGAGCCTCCTTCAAAACATACGCATGCATATCATAGGAGAATTTTCACAGCTTCATCTTTTTAACTCACTTTTGAACTAGGTGTGATTGTGGTAGTTGCATGTCCAACAGTGAATTTTGGTACTATCTTTTACCTCTGTCAAGTTGCATTTTATATTGGAGTTCAAGTTGGATAGAAAATTGTATTACATTACCAATGGGCTGCCCCTTGAAAGGATGAAAATCCTCCAGTTCTACTGAATATTGCATTTGATATCGAGTCCGAGTCATAGAAAAGTTAGGTCATAGGTGTTCTCTTTTGTATCATCTACAGAATTTTAATTCCTTTAGGTTGTTATGGAGGTATTGATATATTGTTAACTGGTAACTGTCGGATTTTTCTTCTGCCTTTTTCTTTTTCACCCCATTAATTTTGTTTCCTAAAAAGAAAATTTTCTTTTGTAATGATAATGTTGACACAGGTCCTTGGATTGCAAAAAATGTTAGTGAATCTATTCTATAAAATGGATTTGTATGAAAATTTTGATTTCCTGAGAGGTTTTATGATTGGGTTAATTGAACAGAATTTGTTGTCGATGTGCACCCTTACCGGCCAGATATAAATTATACATGGTCTTGGACCTCTTGGTTGATTAACTCTTCCCAATTTCTTTTTGTTTTTGTTTTGAAAAAAGAAAAATAAAAAAAAGGATAATTAATACCAGCCCGTGGGGCAATCCAAATTCAATGTTAGCGTACAACTTATTCATTGCTGGAAAACGATCACATCTGGAGTTGATCAGAAATAGTGCTGCTTGGGCCTTTTAAAGCTGCATTAGCAGATCAAATTTGTTAAAAGAGTAAACGACTTTTTCCCACCCAAGGTTTGGCGAGTTTGCAATTTCTCACCCCTGGTTTCATAAATCGTAGATTCTGAATCTCAGATTCTCACCTTTAAATTAATATAAAACTGTTTAATTTAACATTTAAAAAAAATTCATTTCAAAGATGAAAATTTCAAAATAACTCTTCACTTCTCAAATTCATTCCATCAAAAAATTTCAAAATAATCCTTCATTACTCAAAATCACCCCACTAGCAATTTCAGGTCATTCTAACCTGTTTACGAAGCAGTTGGCCCCTTTTGACACCACTATTACAATTCCCTCAACTCCCACATTAAAACCCCTAACCTCCCCGTCTGATTGAACTCCCCAATTGTTGGTCGTCACTTTTAGTGTCAATTGGCGTTTCATCCAAATTCTGGTAGCTTCTGGCACCGAAAACCACCCCCAAGACCACCAATAGCATCGTCGGCTTCCCCCCACCAAAACCCCCAACATCGTCAACCTCAATTGCCGGCCAATCACCGTCGCCTCTCCCTTAGGTTTTCGTGTTTCGTAGCCCCTTTCCAACCAAATTTCGGCACCTCACCAAGGTACAATCGGGTGGAAAAGTTAGGGGTTTTGGTGAGGAGGATAAAGGGATGTTGATGGTGGTGTTAGGGAGGTCCAATGATGTCAAAATCATGCCAGATTTTTGGCTTGGCCGGGATCTCATTTAGGGGTTATTTGAGAGAAATTTAAGATGTAAGGGTTATTATGAGAGAAAAGTAATAGTGTTAATTTAAGGATGGAAATCTACAATTTATGAAACCAGGGGTGGAAACTTGCAGATTCACCAAACCTTGGGTGGGAAAATGTCGTTTACTCTTGTTAAAAAAAAGGTATTTTATTAGTTTGTAAATCTACATCGTAAACCCGTCCAATTCAACTTTTTTTTAACTTTTTTCAAAAAACTTTTCCCAAAAACCCAAACTTTGTACCAACGAAGCCAAGGGGATTTGGAAATATTTACCGTTGCTGCAACTCCTCAATCTGATTTTGCCACGTAATATACTCCAAAAAAAGTCATGTTTGTGTAGGCTAAAATAAAAAAAATATCATATCTGATTTTGCCACGTAATATAACTCAAAAAAAAAAAACATGTTTTGTTAGGCGAAAATCACAACTCGCGACGTAACTATCGTACACGCAGTGAAAGGTTTGGTCACATCTCATTTATGCCACCGCCAATTCACTGCAGCCAATCAACCATGACCTCAAAGTACGATTACGTGACGTACGCTCCCTCCCAGCTGAAAACGCCGTCGTCCTCCCCCTCTACTACCATCCAACCGCCACCGCCATAGCTACTCCGCCGCTGTCTCTACTCAGTCGCCTGCGTCGCAATCCTCGCTTTTTTGGTTTTCCTACTCTATCCTCCGATCCCCATTCAACTCTCCCGAATCCGTCTCAACCACATCCGGTCAACTCATCGCCTGGACCTACCCTGGACCTCTCCTTTCTCTTACATCAAGGTCCAGAACAGAGACTTCTTCTCGTTAAGCTACGATTCGCTTGCCGTTTCGGTTGGTTATAGAGGGAGAGAACTAGGGTTGGTGAGGTCCAAAGGAGGGAAAGTGAGAGCGCGAGGGAGATCGTACGTTAATGCCACGCTGGAGCTTGAGGCCTGGAGATTATTCATGAGCGCGTTTTATTTGATTGAGGATTTGACCAAGGGTGTCATTCCCTTTGATACTGATACTGAGGTCAAAGGCCAGCTCGGCTCTTGTTTTTCGAAATTCCTCTGAAGGTCTTTAACTCTTTATCTTTCCGGCTCTTGTTTTTTGAAATTCCTCCTAAGGGTCTTTGTCTTTTGTAGTTCAATTTAGATGATTTAGAATCAACTAGTAAATTGACAATTGTTACTTCAGTATGTTGTTGAAAACACCAATTCCTTTAATGACTTGTTCACTCATTTCTGGGAAAGATTTTAATTCTTTTTATCTTGTTTATCAGGCAAGAGTCGAATGTGAGGTGTATGTAAATACAACGACCAGTCGGTAGTCCGGCAAGATTGCTACCCTGCGGTGAGTAAATTTTCTTTAGTATAGCTTATTCAGGAGAATGTGTGAATTACATACAAATTAGATACTGATTCATTTTAAGATTATATGCAAATCTAATTTACTTTTTGTACCATAACACCTTTAAAATGCTAAAATTCTCTGATTTACCTGTAATCATATGAATGGTTTTGCTGAATATGGTGCCTTTTGCTGCATGTAATTGAATAAATAGAGATGTGTCTCAACCTACTTCTGGCTAGGGGTAGGCGAAGTGATATGCTCATGCTGTAGAAGTATATGTATCAAATAATCAAACCTTCTTTTGTAGTAGTGGTATAATAAGACCAAAGTTACAAGATATTTAGAAACTTGATGTGATATGAACTGTTGAAGATGTTAATTCTGAAATCAAGCAATTACTGATATTGTGCTTATTTGATTGATTGCTGAAATATTCTAATTAAACCTTTATTATATTATTGTATTTACAGCCACAGTATAAATTGGCTATTGTACACATTACAAAATACACAAGTAATACCAAAGTATTCTCTTATCTTCTCTTCTCTCTCTCCGTTCTTGACATCCTTCAGCATCTCTTGCCATTATTGTCAAACCTTCTCTCTATTGACATTCTTTGGCAGTGTTCTGCCTCTTTTGCCTCTCTTCCAGCCTAAACTTTAACAAAACTTATTTTATATTGATAAAATTTGAGGTGGATCTGACTCCTCACCTAATAAGGTTTTGTTGAATGGAATGATTATTCCCTCTTATAAACTAATAGGTTTATGTGTGTCTCTCACAATCAAACCCATATGTTAGGTCATACATGTTGAAGGAGGTAGTTGTTAGCTTTACTTCCCACCCACTGGTCAAACACATAGGTTTAAACGTGTTTCTCACAATCAAGCCCATATGTTAGGTCATGCCTGTTAATAGAGGTAGTTGCTGATTTTAACTCCCTACCCATTGGTCAAACACTTAACTCAAGTGAACGACTCTGATACCATAATAGAATTTGAGGTGAGCTTGACTTTTCACCCAATAAGGCCTTGTTAAATGAAATAATTACCTCTCTTGTAAACCAATAAGTTTGAGCGTGCTTAATCGGTGTAAGATTCTAACATATATCTCTTGGTTGTCAAATAAACCAATCCACAAAATTAAGAATCACCTGAAAATAAATACTTCACCATTCCTTGAAGTGAATGTTAATGGTCAAAATAATTTTCGTTGAGACACTCACTAGAAGTGGGATGTTTATGAACTCAAAGAAACCCAGATCTGCAGAAAAACCTTCTGTAACCCTGGAAACACATTTCGTAGGCGTGTAAAATATATTTATCACGTACCTGTAGTACGTTTGTGCAATAGGAAATATGTATTTGCAAGCCCTTAGGAAACTGAAAGGAAATATTATATGATTATATCATTTTATTCATTATTCATTAAGCATTAATATTACTTCTTTTTATCATGTTTTAAAGTACATTCTCACCGTGTGCTATTCTTTCTTCATTTCTAATGTAAACATTCTTTAATAAAAATCATATGAGATCATAGAGTGAATTGTTCGCTTTGGAAAATCATATGTATATTATCATTATTTCTTGGCTACTTAACCATCAAACCAGATAACAAGTTAGTTTTGGTACTAGTTACATGACAATTTTCATTGTCATGAATAGGGGTGATCGGCTCTGGCTATTTTGCGTTTTTTGAAGGTATCATAATTGACATTGGTCGGTTACTAAATTTGGAGTCAGAATTAGAATCGGCCAGTTTCGGTTCTTAGAAACCCAAAACAAGAACCTGAAA